GTTTAAGGAGAAAAACAAAAATTTGCAACTCAGCTATTTCATTGTGATTTGACCTCCATTTTGTGTTCTTGTGGTAGGCTTAAAGGAAACCGCACCAGCCTTTGACGTAGCTTTGCCTCAACTACCCCGAAAGAATGTGGTTAGAAATTCATCATTTCCTGTCTCGTAGGTGCAAACCGCAGCAAAGACTAAAACAGGCGTACAGCTGTCGAGCTGAGACTGAAAAAAATATTTTTCGATTTCACTGCAGCCTGAAATCGAAAAAGACGTGCTCCAGCAGATATTTTTCAGTTCAATTCTGGTTTATTTAGGGACAACAGGCTAATTTCTGTTTCTATTCGCTATGTGTGCCAGCTACAGTTTTGGTTTTCTCCCCACAAGAGATATCTGCATCTTGAGTTCTCTGCTTTAGATAGTAAACCATTGGTCTTGTACTTTCCCCTCCTTTCCAGTACAATTCACTCAAAGTGATTCCTGCTAATATAAGATTCCTGACTAAATTCTTTATATAAATCACAATTTTATGACTGGAGATTTTAAAGATGAATTCCTGTTAAAGCACCACAAAGATTTCCTTTCAGCTGTTTTGAAACTCAACACAGTTCATACTTGATATTCAAATCATCAGCAGTAAACTGAAGAACATCTGGTGATCTGTTGGGTGCTGTGGCAACATTAATAGTCATTTTCATTTATCAAAAGTGGCAAAGGAGTTATTTAAGCAGAAAGGCAGCATAGGCATTGGCTTCTTTAACCAACAAAAATGTCAAGCATGTTAACATTCAGGATATCGTAGATGAGGTGAGGACAGGAGACAACTGAACCTGCCAATGCTGCCACAGCAGGGGTACAGGGAGGTTTCACAATGAGCCTGAGGATCTTTTGTACTCCACGTCTTTCAGTAGAAGCATATCAGTTCTTGTGTTCAGGCAGTCAGAGCGAGTATTGAAATGTAGTTGCATTTTTGTGTATGAGAGAAGAGGTGAAAAAAACTCAACTTTACACAACACAATCATCTGTCAAACTGTAACAATCAACTGATGAGTGAAAAGGGTTCAAGGGAAAACCAAATGGCACCACAGTTTCTCTCCCACTGTTTGAGTAGAGTCCAGTAAGTTGCCAGGTGTAAGATAATTATGACATTTCTGATAATTTCTTTTTTCTACATGTCATAGTGTCTGGGTTTTGTTTTTGATAATAGTTCAATAGTACAAAACTCATTTGGAAACAACCTGATCTGATTAATTGTTGTGTATCAACTAAGTCAAAAACGTATTACTAAAAACTGACCTGGACCTGCCATGAATGATCTTGTGAAGTTAAACCAAATGTGTAATGTATTGTCAATTCTTTAAAACACACAGAGAACCCCCGTCGCCACTTACAACCTCATATACACTCATTTGTGTTTCACAACTACCGTTTTGTACGGTTTAAGTACAAAATGGAAGTTGTTGTTTGGTACGGTGTATGGTACAAAAACGCTTTCTGTAACCTATTTACTTAAATGCTGGGATGCATAGTGTGTCCTGTAACCTGCATAATAAATAACAGATGTATTGTGAACTGTGGGATGTACATTGCTTTGGTTCTGGGTGCACCACATTCTGGATTTAATTATACAATAGTGTGCCTAAAAACACTAATTATTTCTGTGATTATTTGGTGATTGGTACCTGGAAATGCTGACTACTGCCCCAATCATCCCAACATTCATGGGCCCTTTTCCTGCTTTTGTCAAAACTGACATGTGAGATCTTCTTTGAGCTAAAGATTGAATTTTTTTGATTGATTATTCTTGCTTCATAAAAACAGACTCCATGTCAGTGTGTTCCTCTACACCAGTATGAAACCAACCTGGTCCTGGATGTCAAGGTTCATTCTTAAATTAGAGCCAGATCTGTCGTGCTAATATGACACTGTCGTCACCTATGCACGGATTTGGATAAACCTTACAGCAGGCCTCGAGTTACTACACTCAGCAGTATTATAAAGAGGATTGCTAAACCTAAACTGGCAGCTGCCCCTCTAATGTAAATACAGGTTTTACAGTTGGAACTTTGAAGCTCTTCAGTCTAAACTGTAAATGGTGCACTCGAAATGCACATTTCAACTAAGAGCAATGGGGTAAATCTGCTCTGACACAATAACAGAAACCCTTTTAAGTGCTAAATTAGCGTAACTTAGCTTTACAACATGGATTCTGAGAAATAAACAAGCGAGTACCAGCTGATCAAACAAGGATTTAAAGACAAAGTTAGTCAAGTGTAAAGCAAACAAGAGCTCAAGGCAGCCAGAGGGGCCTAACGTGGCTCCTGTGACAGTTTTCTCATGTGAGAGGTAATGGTAATGGTCTTGCTGGGTGGGGGTGAGCTGGGGTCACAATCGGAACAGTCACAGAGCCTCAAAGGCTCGGTCACCTGACCCGAACGAGGAATGAAAATCGCTCAAACGACCTCCTTTGGCCTACTTTATTAAAAAGCTAATGAGTGGCTGATCACAAGCTGGGTAGTGGAGGGGGGCATAGCCTCGGTATTTAGGGCACTTATGAATGATTCAGCTGGGGAAAAGTGAGTCATCGTCCCCGTCATTTGCCAACAAACAACATCTGTCCATCTCTGTACGTGGACATGGAAGAACACAATTGACCAGCATGTTTGAAAAGGTAACCTGCTGCACTCAATCACCTGTTAATGTTCCAGTTAATCACGTCTTTCCACTTCAAAAGGTGTGTTTCTATTCTTTACAATTTTTTTATACCTGGCTTGTTCTTCTGGATTCCAAATGATCATTTGACACAATAAATCATTGCACAGGGGAAAAAAAGCCATTAATCATCAGTCTTTCATCTGCATCATCCTTTTCCTGTTGTTCTTTTCATTGGCAAGAAAGAAAAACATTACTAACATGACAAACCTAAACCTCCTGTCTTGTCAGGATCAAGTAAACTGTTTCTTAGTTACATTGCAACTTGAATGTGTGTGTTTGAACAAGAAGATGCAGACATATATGGCCAATGACGCACACATACCAGCATGCACTCACATATAGACGCACACTTGTGACACTCTTGTGCTCAGTCAAGGTGGCTTAGTCTCGAGCTGTGAGAGAGATCGTTATCCTCAGTTACTAGTGGCAACAAAGGACAGTCAGTTGAGTGTGTTAATGCATGTCTGATCCACGGCACTGAGCCAAAGCCCACTGAGGGAACAGTAAGGCTACTTATGAGAGTCAGATGTGTTCCTGAACGTCAGAGGCTAAAGACATCAAGTTTTCCACATCACACTTCTGTAAGTTGCCTTTTAGATTATAATTAGCTTCAAATTAGTTAAGATGTCACAAACGTCTGCAAGTACATACATGTCCTGAACTCAGATTTAAGGTGTGCACAGAGAAATATTCAGCAGATGAATGCGAAAGCATCCTTCTAGTATCAAACACTGAACATTGTGTGCACTTTTTGCACAGTGGAAGTCAAACATCCAAGTGAAATAACAGTATGAAAAATACATTTTTGAGTGGAGGGAGACATGAAATATTTGTAAAGCTAACATTGCTGCTTAATTACATGCAATGTAATTTTAATTATCTCTTCAAAGTAGAAAAAAATAGTCTTGACTTTTGTTTCTTGCACTCAGAAATGATGTCATGTCTCCAAGGTAGGTTAATTGTTAAATGGCCACATAAAAAGCACAAAAATTGTGAACAAGTGATGACTATACTCACTTATTCAGAGCAGTTAAGAATCAAACTCTCATCTTAAAGAGAGATCGTCTTTTGCTTTTGAGGTCAGCATTGAGAAAGAAATGAGGACATTTTGTATGATGAATGACAGCAGGCTAGTTGAGGCTTCCTGGAGGGATATTTAATAGGCACAATATAATACAAGCGGCGGGCGAAACGTTAGACATTACACAAGGCTCCATTGCCATGGTTTCACTTCCCGTACTCGTGGCAGGTCTGCAAGAGGCAGCCTGTCTGCTGGAGGAAAACATTAATCACTTGGATTCCTCCTACACAGCGTGGCAGATTCTGCCTTTGAAGCTCTCTCAAAGGCAGCAAACCCACGTAACAAAGATTCTGAGCGGATCAAGGGGATTTAAACTGCACATCATGAATATCTTTTGATATCATCTAAATGGCTTCAGCTCTCATAACCTTGACACAGATTTGCATTTTACTCCATCCCAAATCTAATTCAAATTCTCAGGTCCTAACTTTCTATGATAGTTTCTCTTCAACAACTTTTAGAACAGAGTTGCAGTTACACCACAAACCAGAACTTTTTGGACAGCCTTTAACTGCTTTCTCAAACCAGGCCCCTGAGGTTAAAGACTCATGCGTCAGCCTGTGTCAGCCATCAATTACCAAGTCTACTTAAACATGATCACAGAGCACAGGACACACAGGCATGCACACACATAGGCAAGCAAAGTACGGTAATTCCTTGTTTCAATTTCATCTTCCATGTGTTTTCATCGGGACCACCTATGCTATCTTAGACAATAAACATCTCTTAGCTGTCACAGCTTGTACTGTGTCTGTTGTAATACTGAACACTCCCGCAGTGACCAGGTGTAAGAGTCATAGATCAATAGTGCTACTGTCAGCTTTTTGCAAACTTAAAAGAGAAAAAGCCTTTTGTGTTCAATAATAATATATATTTTTAAACAAGACAAAGTCTACAACCATGCTAGCAGCTCTGTGATGCTGTACTTAGACACAGTGGAGTTTTAAGCTCATGGGCAGAGAGTGGGGTTGGCTTTTTGGGCTCCAGCCCTGAATGTTTTCTCAAAACTAATCTTTTAGGTTTTCGAAATAACTTACATTTTGTGTAATTTCCCCTCAGTCTTTCTGACTGGACCAGAAAATCACTTCTATTACTATTATCACCACTTATGGGTCTGCCCTAACATTGCCATGGAGGGGAAGTTGTCTTGTGTGTGTCATGTTTCATTTAACTGTGTCACCTCAGTGAGCAAGCAAGCTAGCTAATTTTGTTATGGAATATTGACTTGAAGAGGAGTCAACTTTATTGTTTTCCTCTTTTTAGGTGGCGGGAGTGAAAATTAGTCATCCTCAACATTTTGGGTGTCATGGTTTCAGAAGGATGAAGACAGTTGGAGAACAATTAAATACAAAATAGGATGTAGGCTCAACAGGACGATTTCTTTTCTAACGTTGCCATGCTAACATGCTCACAATGACAGTGCTAACAAGCAGATGAGTAACACCAGAGTACAGCTGAAGCTGATTGTAATGTAATTGGTTTTGAAGGTATTTTGGTATCGAAAAAAATTGACAAAATTTGACCTGATGTTGGCGCCAAACGATAAGTCATGGGCTCTAGAAAGTCATAAGGATTCACTGTCTAGGAACCATGAACGTCTATTAAAATTTACGTAATTTATCCGGTAGATGTTAACACTGCCATGGAGCTACAGCGTGGCTAAAAATCTAAGAACATGTTTGGAGATTTGGTCACAGAATGATCTCAGTCCATAGACAATCATGTAATCAATCAATAAACCCATTTATTTCTGCCACAAAAATGAAACTGATGCAAAATACAGGAAACTACAAAATTCACTTCATATTCCAAGAAGGATAATGTGGACCTATTTGACATACTGTACAGTCATAGTCAGATGTTATATAATTCCATGTAGCAGTAGAACAGCAAATTTTCCCTACTGTACCCCCAAAAGGTGGTTTCCCTCAGTGGCCCCTAGCTGTAAACGTGTCGTGTGTGTACTTTAAGCTAATGCTACATGGCTATTTTGGTCAGTATCGAAGACAGCCTTTAGCCCAGCTTGTGTGACAGAGTGACAAGTTACTTTGAACTTGGGCTTAATGACATTTGTCACAGTGACAAGAAAATCCAATGAATCACTAGTTTTTGTCCTGATCTCTGGACCTCTGGACACAATATTTGGGTAGAAAATTCAAGTGTGTGCGTGACTTCGAGAACACCCCCAACTGTTTGAGCAGTGATAAGAAAGTGTCTACATGTGCAAAGAGCCAGCTGCAGGGAATTTATCAGTAGGACAAAGGGCTAACCAAGGCAACATGCAGGAGCAGGAAGACACAATAAAGGAACTGATAAAAGCATGTCATTATAGCCCTTGCAGCTTTTACATTTGATATTTCAGGAAGTCTGCTATCAGATCACAATGGGTGAAACTAAAATACAAGGTTAATATCCTTTTTACAAACATTGCCAATAAGTAACAACAAGGATTACAAAGAACAAATTATCAGATAGAAAGAGTACCATAAGGCCCAAATTTCACAACCCCTAATTTCACTATAACTCAGCTTTTTATGTAATAAGTTGGACATCCAGCTTTTGGTTGCACAACTTTTCACCACTGAGCAAACACTTCTCCTCTGTTCCTTTCCATGCAGCCAAATTCACTTTGATAACTACACAAGCACGGAGAGCCTGCTGCTGGTAAATTGGAGAGTAAATATTGAATTTTCCTGTAGGCGCCTCGGTCGTTGTTCTTATGATATGATGTAGCGGAAAGAACACAAGGTTTTAAGATCAGGACACCTACACAACTTCATCCTCATCTTAATCCTGAAGCAGAAAACAGAGTGTTCTGTCATGTTTAATTAAACATGTTTTCTGGTACATTTTAACAGAAAAGGTTTTAGCAGATGTTCTTCCTTCTGACTGCTTGTAATGTTGATGAGTTTAAGCTTGTTCCACTGTTACAAACTGTAACTGTCACAAAACTGTCACAAAAATGATACATAGATCCCTTAAATCCTCTCCAAATTGTAATTTCTAATCTTGTTGTTTTATCTTCTTCTTCGACCAAGTTTTAGTTACTCTTTAATGTACATTATTTTCTGTTGCTTGAGCTTCTAAATTCATCCCTTCATTGTGTTTTTCACTAGTACTGTTGTACTGTGCTCTGCTTTTAGATTAGTAAAAGAAGTTTAAGATCCAAGAACTGAAGACTTGACAGTTTTTCCTGGGCTCTTCTCTTTCTTCTTTAAAACCATGTGCACTTTAAATACTCTAAATCCCATTACAGTCACACTGAGTGAATAGGTTGGTCTACGTTGGTAGGTCTTGACTCCACTGCAAACTAAACTACAGACAGTATATCTGGGATGGACTACACCATGGTCACACGCTATTGTGCCACCAGCAGACCAGCCTTGCAATAGCAGCTGTTTTTAAAAAAAAATCCTCCCACACGGTTGACTCAATGTCCACCCATTTTTTTTTCTTACGTCTTGCATCATTCACATGTTTGGCCCATACAGCATGAAATCTGCGTATACTGGATGGCAAAGAGGCAAAAGCAGAAACAGCAGAGTCAATTCTTCATACTGAAAGGGAAACTCAGACAAAATGATCATAATCAAAGCAGCAGAGGCTATATCCGGACTTTTAGCCCTGATTATGAGTCTCACCCTGGGTCCTACATTGGCCATAATGCAACCTGATAGCATCTTTCATTGGACCCCAACATTGGCACCCCAAGAATGCAAAGATCCCCAGTTTGTGACACAGACTTTCTTTAAAAGATAAAGCCAAAACTAAGATAATCCTGATCACATCATTACGACACACTCAGGGTAATCTTCCTCAGACCAAGACGAGTGAACTGATCTTCAGATGTAAAATTGGTTCCCCTTTAATGTGTGAAAAAAACAACTGTATTGTATCAATTTTGAGGCTAAAATCTTTCAGATAACTAAATGGTGACACAATGATATGCAGCATTAAAGTTTTTGATACTAACTTGTAATCATAGCCCCTTTTGTAATACAGACACAGCTCATTAAACATCTGTCTTCTGGAACAGAAACCTTTTAATTTTAACCAGCTAGCTCATGCTCTCTGCAACTCAGGACCTTCTTCAGCTTCAAACCCTATTTTATATTTCACTTATGTGCATAATTATACCAGTTTAAATACACTGACTTGCAGCTATATTTACTATTAGCACTTTCGTTCGGTATTAAAAAAAAAATTCGCTTTATTTGGTCTAGACACTGTACCCAGAGGCATGAGTTCTAAAACCTGAGTGAGAAGTTCAAATGAAAGAATTCTTGTTCCCTCTCATGTTTTCCTCTGCCGCCCTGCACCCCACCATCTCCCCTGCTCAGGGCTAAGCAAGGGGTGTGGGCTGTGGGGGTGGGTTTAGCTCCCAGACAGTGTGGCATTCCTGAAATGAGTGCTAGCTCACTGCTGAACCCGTTCCCAACCTCACTCCTCCTCTTCCAGGCAAGAAACTTTCCCCTTTCACTGTATGCTGCTCCACTACCACCACACACACACACACACACACACACACACACTGAAGCGCACTGCCCCATTGTACATGGAAAAAAATACTGTACATGTTATCATAAATTGATATGGAGGACTAGAAGTTTCTAGAAGTCTTTTTCAAAAGCAGTAGTTAAAACAACCCACTTACAGAAACGGACTGCTTATTTTAATTGTGCATGTATATCACAGAAAGTTATATTCACTTTCAGTTTCTCCAAAATGCTGATCAAAGTGACACGTGGGTTCATCTTATCGTGTCCAACAGGCAGAGTTGAGGGTCAACATCTTTTACTAACAACCCCATTGGGAGGCGAGGCGGGGTTAAAGGTCACTATGAATGTTTGGCTGGGTTCCATAGCCCAGTGGAGTGTCAGTATATGACTGTTTATCTACTATTATTATTATTATTGGCTTCTTGATGTCAACTGTGACTTGTAACTTTAGTAAAAAAACAGAAGTATTAAAAACAGTAGCCTGGTGTATTGTCATGTAAATGTACACACAATTACTGCTCTCTACAGACAGATAATACTGAGTGTGATTGTGATTACTACTACTACTTCTGTTGTTGCAGTACATTTGCTAGTTCAAACATTGAGTCAAGTAGGTATTTCCAAGAAAAATGTTCCTGCAAACAGGATGGGGTGGGATTTACAATTAATTTTCACAGTTTGTTTGGAATAAATAAAAAAAGAATTTGACCATTAGCATGAATAGGGAGATAACACCACAAAATGCAATAAATGTACTGGACTACTAGCAAAAAAATTAATAAACACACACAAAAATTTGGCACCTAGCACTACAGAACTAAAGATTCTATCAAATTATGACATGTAATCTTGTGTTATCACTGTACACTTACGGGGAACTGTGTTAGAAAAACAGAATGCTGGCATTTTGTTGCTCTTTGTAACCACTGAAAGTAGATTCTCTTGATAATGCAAATGTTATTTGTTACTTATTGTGGAGTTGGCATTTTATCTGCTGCTGCTCTTCTAGTCAAGTGAACATTGACTGGGCTGAAATGCATAATAACCACTCTTACTTATCCTTTTTACTCTTCATGTTTTGTCCCATTACTTCTGAGGATAATTTAGGCTATTTAAACCTTGAGCTCACATTTAATTTACAACCCTGGTGTGCCTGTCTTCTCCTAATCTAGTTGTCTGTGCCTGTAGCCTTCCTCCAGGTCTTGATGAGTGTGGTTCACCTGGTGTTTGAGGGGCATCGGGTACTGTGGGGGCAGAGTGACCCTGGAACGCAGCCAGGCATCATACTGCTCCCTGGACATCTGGACGACATGCTTTGTGGCAATCTGACAATTGAAGAGGTATAGAAGGAGGGAAAGAAACAGATGGAAATGTATGTTGGCACCTCATACAGTTAAAAGTAAGAAACAAAACACAAATATACAACTGAAACTGGTGAGGAAAAAAAAAAAAAAGATATTATTCTTTGGTGCCCCAAACCCTGACTAACTTTCCCCTAAAGGGACTCAGACACCAGCAATTCCAGACATTCCCCAACCCAGCCCACCCTGGTGTCCTCTTGCTGAGCCAGAAATGGAAACCAAAGCAAGTCATCTGCGACACTGAGAGGGACACTTCCACATACTGTCGTCAAAAGGCACACAGGGAAAGAAAATGGCCAGTGACTGACCCTCTAAATCAGTGAGCCAACTTTACTATAGGCTGGTGTCATTTATCAGTCGGCTTCCTGTCATTACACCTTCAGCTATCTGCTCTGGAGTCTGGGGAGGATGTATTGCCCCCTCATTTCTGACCGGTAGGGGTGTGTTCAGAGGGTCTGGAGTCTGTTAGTCCTGGAGTGCAGATCGTCCCTAATTAATGGTTTGGTGGGAGTGGCAGACAGTTTACTGTTGGGCTTAAAGTTTGGGGGAAGATCAGAGGAAGTAAATAAAATCCCACGATCAAATCTCTTTTAATTTGTGCACAGCCCCTGTGGAAATACATCATTAGGAAATCTTTCTGCTGGGCACAAACAAGAGACTTTTTAATCAGCTAACCAGCTGCAATAATAATTTGGCATCACACATTTTTCACAGTTGTGTCTGTTCTGATTTATTCTGTTACTAGTTCATAACACAGTTGTTGTCATAGTTGTCATTTATATGGGGCAGTGTTGTGTTGTCTGTTCCTCACATTTAATGCCAATGGAGTAAAGTGTAAAAAGGGCAAATACAAAGTGTAATCGTTATCCTTTAAATAAATTAAGTATATATAATAGATAAATAAAATGGGAAAAAAAGTGTAATATTTTCACTAATTATGACCCAATGACAAGGTGATCACATGATGATGGTTAAACCTCTGGTTGATTCTGTGATTTCAGACCACAAAAACCTGTACTATTTGTTTTTTCTATTGTGATAAATTACTGACAACAATGTGAAGTCATTTTTTATGTAATAAAGCCTCCTTTTTAAATACAGTCTTTCATTTTATTATTTGTTGCAGGAATCCCTGGATCATTGTTTTCACAAACTTTTAAGAAATGTGGAATGAGGTCTTTTGTGTACCTGGATGGCCACACACATCTCAGGCAGACATAGCTCCCACGGCTCCAGACCCCCCAGCACCTTCAGGAAGAGCTGAGGTCGAACCCTGAGCGTCTGCTGCTCTGCAAAACCACTCAGCTTCTCCAGCACCCGGCTCACTGCTCGCTCCCTGTACACCTTCTCAGGCAGGCTGCTCAGCAGAGTGGACAGCCTGGAAGAAAAAGACAGAAAGGGCCAGCATTAGTATCAGGTCTGCAGACAACATCATGCTAAAACACAAAAGAATATCGTGTTTATTAGTTTGAATGTTAACACATACGCATAGCACATGTGTATGCAGTTCCACAGATGTGTCGGACCCCCACCCCAATAACACCCCCACCACACTCCACCACACCCCACCACACACTCCACATTCCACACTACATAATGTCTTCAACAGGCTGCATACCACATATTGTTGTTGTGGTTATTTTTATTGTTGTGTGGAGCTTCTGTCTCTTGAGACATGCAGGTCACATGATGAGGAAAGCCATGCGGTTCAGTCATGTGAGACAGGCCTTGATACATCTGGAGACCGCTGTTTAACCTCTTTCTGAATGGGAGAAGAAGACTGAATGAAAAAAAAGAAGGATCTAGAGGAACCTGTAAGAGCTCAGCACATTATCTTACACTCATCACATAGTTTATAATGTATTGGCACACTGGCTGTATTTGACTTGTATTTAAGTAAGCACACAGACTGATATAACAGAGCAAACATGGCAGTTGCATAAATTGTAAATGTTTACCCTCAGAGTCAGCTCACAGAGTAAGTGGGCTAAAGTCTATAACATGATAAAACATGACAAGATCATGTTAATTAACACAGGTGGCAAAAATGCCCTCTTGGATGCCCCTCCAGTGCAGAAAAAACCTGATGAAGTGCTCTCTCTAGGATGCTAATCCCAACCCTAACCTGTTTCACTGTGGATCTGCCTGGAACATGTAGTTGAATATGCAAACTCAGGAATTTAAATTCCATCAGCTCTGTTAATGAATGAATGAAGAAACAAAATCAGGCATCATCTGGCATAGCAGAACAAATTCAGACCACTGAAACCATAATGAAATCCTAGACTACTGTATGTTAAATATGAAGCAACAGTCAACAGCATTTTAGCTTAGCTTAAAGACTGAAAAAAGGGGAACACAGACTGGCTCTGTCAAAAGGTATGGATTTGTACAGAAACAATATCACTTTTGAACATCTATTCATCCCTTGAATTTTAACTTTTGCTTTTGGGGAAACAATAGTTTGGTAAAGATGATGCATTTGAGACATACAGTATCCTCTGCTGCATGCTGATAATTGCGTGATAGCTTGGGAAAACCAATAAGAAGGAATTGTTGTGAAATTGTTAGGGCTGGATGTTTGCCAGACCTGGCTTTGAGCTCCAGGGCGTCGATGTAGCTTTGAGCCAGCTCCTCAACCCGTTCGTCAAAGACAGCTTTCACGTCCCGTAGCATGGTGGCCCTGTTGTTGATTAGATGGCTGATGGCTAATGGGGGCTTGGCAGGACAGCTGGATGTAGGAAACAAAAAAACCAATAGTACTTTTTGTTGTGTTCATAGATTTGTAGTCATGATTATGCTATAAAGTGTCTCTTTGTGTCAGCTTTTAAAAACTTAGTCACAAGCACATACCAAGTCTTTACCAAGGTTTACTGTATACAACATGCATATAATGTATAAAATGACACACTCCTTTGCTATTGTATAAGCATCCAAGGATTCATAGCACACTGCCTTTAAAATGAAACAGTATGGGGTTACCATGCATACTCTCAGTGTATGAATTATATGTATTTATATATAAAACCCAGCCCCCCTATTTTAGTGGACCAAATACAAATAAACTTAAATAAAGTCATCCTATTTAATATTTGGTGACAAATTCTATGCAGTCCCACTGTTTGTACCTAAAACTCACTACTTGCTGTATATTTAGGGTTCCTGTCTTGCTGCACAGCCCTACTGGGGCACTATGTACAAATATAGCTGTGACTGTTACACTGTTCAACTAATATGGCTCCTCAAACATATTTCAAGTTGAAAATCAGCTCTTCAATGTAACAGATACTGTTTTGTTTAAAATCCAAAGTATAGATAAAAAGTACAGAGCCAGTACGGATGTATGGATTTGTATGGATTTCACTGTATGCATGAACTGTATGTAGAAAATAAAAAAAAACATCTTGAATATTAAACAAATTTTATATAATAAGATAAAAAAATATAGTATTTAGAATATAATACACAACCGAGGTGTGCTTTTTTAAAAATTTTGAGCGGGTAATGACAAATGTAACATACAGTAGGTTAAATAAGTGATTAAGGTTAACATAAAAATCACACATTATGGGTGCAGTTGCAGTTGCACCTCATTGTGGTCTTGGAGCTGGATTGGTTGTCAGTTCTCTGGGGTAAAGGCTGGGTTTTGGACTCAGGTATTGTCAAACTGGAACATAGGATGGTTACAACAAGTCAGACCTGTTTATAGAAGAGACTGTTAAAGTAGGGATACGTCAAATGGAGTTTCTGAGATCGGATGTTGCCAGAGATATTCCTCTGAGATACAGAATAAAGTCTGGGCCCTGTTTCCCAAAAGCACATTAAGCCTAAAATCATCTTAATCCCATTGTTAGTCTACAGGCAATCATATTGCAAACCTTGTGGCATAAACTCATTATCATTGAAAGCTCTGCTGGCTGAGGGAAAATAGTCACTTGTACACTTGCACATGTAATCAGTCATTGAATGGTGGTAATCATGCTGTCAAACCTTTAACAACCGAGGTAAATATCAGGTAGTAGAAAGCACCAATGACATGTCCCCTGATAACATTTTACAACGTGCCCCTTTGTCCTCTCATCCACAACACAATTCCACTGACGACTTACAGAGAATTCCTGACATAGTCTTTTACATCACTGCTTTCAAAACTGCGAATAGGCCAGAGGAAGAATGATGATGAGGAGGACTAAGAATAGAAGCACAAATTGAAGGGCTGTCACCACAGAGCATAATAGTACAGGTTGAGCTGCCACTGCTTTCCCCTGCTCTTCTTTACATAATCTCTCCAGGGTCACTGGAATATTGCCCTGGGCATGATGGCCTGGACTTTTGTCCTCTTTACAATTAGTTGATTTAGAAAATAGAGCCTTTGCTACTGTTAAAGTTATTGCCACTGCCTACATCATAATGGGAGCCCAGCCCTAAGAAACAACAGCAGTCAGGGGTAGAATTTAAGGATTTATGGCAGGAGGCTCATAATGATACTGGGTTGTAATCTTTATACCATGTTTATCTTACAGGCTGCTGGAAAACAAGTCATGAGCTGGAGGGCTACTAAAATGTAGATCAGTGCAAGTTGAACTTACCTTTCTGTGTGTCTGCTGCTTTGGTTCTTTTTCTTGACTTTCTGATGGACATCTGAGAGTGTGCGAAGACCTAGAGATAAAAAAAAAAAAACGTTAACTAGACTCTGCTGCATTTCTCTTTGTCTCTTGCATCAGTGCATATTATAGATATGTGACTCTCTCTAGCTCTAATTTTTGAATGGTTTGTGAAGGATTTGCACAACTGAAGACATCATTTATCATGTGATGCGGAGTTGAAGGAAAGCTGGGTTTTTGTTACAATCTAAAGTAGGAAAGTAAGACTAATGTCTTATTGTCTATAGTGTTTTATTATATAATCTAATAGCTCCCTCTGGTGTTCACTTAATGTCATTACACCATGAAATTAATTGAGAAAAGTTTATCCTAATGTGTAATCCCACTGAAGCAACAGCTAGTAGTTTATACATAGATGTCACACATGGTGATGAAAGAATAAATCTTCATGAAGCTTCCAGAGAGCATAAAGCATTCATTAAAATGTTAAATACCAGCCTAAATGATTCAACTTCTCTATGAGCTGTGACAAAATTAATCACAGTGTGGCAAATCAGGCAGACGAGGCACTTATTAAAATGTACAGCATGATTTCTCATGAGGAATAGCTATAAAAACCTGCAGCCAAAACTGTAATAGCCAATAACTTTTGCAAATTGGCTGGCTTTAGATTGAATAAATAGAGTTCTTATTTTAATTATCCCAAATGAATGCGGCGGATTAACTATCTGTACTGCTAAAAAAACTACTGGGGGAGGCATTGAAATGCAAAGATAAACCTCTTAATTATTCAGAGTTTTACAATTCCTTTTTTCATCAAAGAGTTTGAAAAATTACTTATTTTTTTCTCAAAGCAAAGAACTCCACTTTCAACTTCATTTACCAGGCAAAACAATGTAGTGTGGGCAGAGCTGCACATCTCCAGTGGCCAATTTCTGGATTTGAGACATAACTCTGGGGATTAGCCTGAACAGCAGTTAATTGCTTTAAACCAATGACGCTGAATTAATCCTTTGATTTTTGGACTCCTTTTATGATTACAGAGAGAGTGCGGGAGGGAGAAAGGGAGGGACGGAAGGAGAAAGAAAATAAAATGTGAGAAAGAGAGAGTAATGGAGAGGATAAAGAAGAAACAACAATCTGACAGTGACTCAAGCAGCTCTTTCATCAGGAGGTAATGATATGAAACCTGTAATCTACAGGAGGCGGGGGGTGACGGGAGAGATCAGATGACTAATTATACCGTGCTCTGAAGCCTGAAGCAGTGCACTCTGGGAAGCTGCACAGGGCATAGCACGGCTGAGCCCTGGCACAAAGGCTCTGATCACCCAGCTGAGCAGAGTATCGAACAGACCTAACTCTTATTTTGGTTTCCATTTCAGACTCAGTAGGTGGTTGGTAAGTGTGTGTGTGTGCGTGTGTGTGTGTGTGTGTGGACAGGGAATTCGGGTGCCATCATGTTTTGTTTCTGTACAGCTGTCTCTATCTCTATTTGCAGGAATAAAGTGACTTTTTAAGGCTTTGTGATCATTAGTTCAAGTCAAACAGCGGTTTCTATGACAACAACAGACCTCAGTTTTTGTGAGTATGTGTGAGTCTGTGAACAATTCTTCTTTCCATTTCCAAAGTGGGGGGTTTTTGTGAAGAGAGATTGTTTTGCTCGCTCTTTTGTTCCTTTAGGTCCAGTTTAGATTCATACTGGGTGGGTGTAGGGTCGAGTTTCGGTTCATTTTGCCTTAAAACTAAAGTTGTGACATTTTGCTTTTGACATGAGGAGCTTAGACTTAGGCATATACTTGTTGTGTTTTCATAAATGGTTCATTATTTGGTGTTTTTTGCATTTCAGTGTCATACAAGGAACAAGAAAATTTTTTTAAAAGATAACTTAGCAAAGTGACAGTATTGATGGGAAATGCACAGGGTCTATTCCATACTCATGCATTCCTGCAACAACAAGGAGATGACTGAATGCTACTGCATGTGCAACCCATCCCTGCATACCATAAAGAAGTGATTCAAGGACCTCCTTTTACACCTGGTATTGATATGTGTCTCATATTGAACATTAACATTTGTTGCCAGCATGCAAGCTAAAATTGCTGTCTGTCTGCAATCTGTTGCCCTTAATTTACATATCCTCCATCTATACGTACTGTATGCTAAGAGACAAATTTTGACTCTTTCAGATGCCTGTACTGTTTGTATGGATGGTCAGCCAGGTCAGTTAATAGTGCCAAAATATTCCACGCTTCTTTTGTCAACTGTGACTCCACCAATGACACTCTTCTTTCCCATTCTGACAACTTACACTCTGAGGGGGGCTGCTCTGTCTCCTCTGCTGCTGCTGGACACTCAGTGCCCTCCTCAGTGCCTGGGACTAGAGAGGACACACTACTGCCCACAGTGGTGGAGGTGAAGGCCGAGAGGGACGCCACACTCGCAAAGGAAGACTTCCTGTGGGTGTGCAGGCGAGCAGAGGAGCTGCGAGGGTGCCTCCGATGAACTCTCTGAGGCTTTTGAAGGGGGACGAGGGAAGGAGAGAAAAGGTAGTTCCCAAGTTCACATTAATATGAATACATAAAAGGACAGCATATGTTTAGTTTATCACACAGAATGCACACACAGGGTCAACAAACTGTTTGTTGTGGTCACAAGACTTCATTCTTTCAACCCATAGAGGTCAGTACAACAAAGCTTTTCTGACATGAGATTACAGTGGAGTTCCTACTTTAATAACCTCATAATCTAATCCTAATCTTTAAATTTGTTTCATGCATTTCCCAGGTTGCCTTTTGAAACCCCCCAATGAAAATGGGCATGGACTTGCTGTCAGTCAAAGGTAGACATTTGTCATCTAAACACAGTATAGTTAGTCACACAAATGTCTATAATAGCTACCACACCCCCTACTCAAAACACAACATCTCTAATGACTGTCTCACATTGTCATCTATTGAGGCTACTGTCAACAAAGACTCTAACGGGCTATAATTGCCTCTTTTCTCTGTGTATAACATTGAATGTCAGCACAGAATGGAGGTTCTTAGCAATTGTTTTGAGAGACCGACTAAAACCTGGCAGTAACCACTGACGGTTTAGATCTTTAAAAGCTTTTGCATCAAGCTCCATTTTTGTCATGCTTGAAATATCTCAATGTGATGTCTCGCCATCTGTGTTTGGCCAGTTCTAAGAAATATTAAAGCAGACCAACCAACAATAAAAAAGCCCTCAAAATGGTGGAATGTTCTTATAATAATAGTCTTACATTTGTATTAGCTCTTTGTAGAGACATTTCATCCTCATAAGTGCAGAAATATGCAAACACACACACACATATGCACACACAGACAAGTTGACAGGCTGCAGCTTGGCACACACCCATAGGTAGACCCATCTCTCAGCTCAGGACGACGTATGAGCAAGAGAAAGGAGCCAGACACGTCTCTCCCTCTCTCCCTCCCTGCACTCACCCCTATGCCCTTCCCTCTGTTCCACCTATCTGTCAGAGAAAACCTGGGCCTTAAGTGTGTGTGACGCTCCCATCAGCCTAATTATCAGGGTGGAAGGAAGCACAACACTTCAGCAACGGCAGCAACAGCTCTCCAAATGTCCTCTACTGCCACACACTGCCATCCCCTGAGGAGTAAGTGTGTATGTGTGTGTGAACATGTTTTTTGCTTACAAGTCAGTCTGTGGGTGTAAGCATGCATGTTTGACTGTTTAAGTAAGTGTGCCTGCGCATTAGGATTAAAGTTTTAGAGTCTATTAAGCATAGAGCTTGAGCATAAGTGAGTAAATGCACCTTACTTTTCCCTTTTTTCTCTGTGTGTCTACATTTGTGTGTGTGCAGGATTTCTCTTTCTGCAGAGCGTGGCAGGTAGAAGACTTTAAAAGATAAGTCCTGGGCAAACTCCAACATTCTGCTGAGATCAAAGTTTGTCCAGAACCCTTAGGGGCAGATGGAGAAAATGAATACAATTCGTGGCCAAAATATGTAGACACACAAATGTTACAGCGATAAGATATTGCTGAACATGTTTGAACCTGGCTGAAGGAGTTTGCTCCCATTCAGGAACCAGAAAATTAGTGAGGACCAACAATGATGTTGGACAATAAAGCCTGGCTCACAGTCAGTGTTCCAGCTCATCCTAAAGGTGTTAGATGGGGTTGAGTTTTGGCCTCTGGGAGTCCAGTCGAGTTCCTCCACACCAAACTGGGAAAACTATTTCTTTATGGATCTCACTTTGTGCACAGGAGCACTGTAATGTTGCAACAGGCAAGGGCCTGAACCAAATCTCTGCCACAAAGTTGAAGACACACTATTATTTAAAGGACCCCACATCTAGCTGTGTAGTTGCAGAGTGTAAATCCCTGGCTTCACCATCCCCACACAAAAGAGAAACTACGGTGGCCATGAAATACGTGAAAAGCACGAATGCCCCTATCTTGAGCCAGTGTTTGGTTTGTTTATTTGGACCTAATGTAGAAACAGAGTGGCCTCCATGGAAAGCAACCTTCTGCATTTGTAGATAAAAACGGCTCATTCTGAGGTAACAAACACATTCTCCAACGATTCTTATTTTCAGGTGATTAAAAAAAAAAGTTATGCATGTTATATTCCATTTATGTCAATAGATCCTCCTAAAAGTTACACACTAGACCCTTGAATTATCATTGGTGTGTGGAAGTGGAATAACATATATAAGGCATTGGATGCATAGATGCACCATCGTTTGGTGGGATAGTGGAATCAGGTCATTATTGGTTTTGGGCTTCTCATGGGATTTATTGACAGTAACAAGAATATCAGATATATAAGATATAGAATATGACCAGATTTCCAGATCCTTTAATTGGGACTCAGCGAAAACATGGGAAACAGTCCCATAACAAAAGTATACAGTATGCGGACAGGGCTGTCCTCATACTTTTGGCAATGTAATGTAAATACAAATAAACAAAATATAAAAAAATTATACTTACAATAAAAAGAGTGAATAAGAGTGAGGGGTACCTTGGTTGAGACGAATTGCTCCCATTTGTTCTCAATGGCTCTCTCCTTTTTCAGTGTCTTTATCATGGTCCTGCCTCGGCCAGGGTCTCTGCGAATTGAAAATAATAGCAACTGTTGTGATACATTCATCACTCTGGTGACCTTCTGCGATCACTGCAAGTCGCAACCACCCTTCGAGGCAGAGACAAGCTCAAGAGTCGCTCCGGCCGTTATCAAAATCATAATTCATCTTATCGTAAAAACTGTGTAGTGTTTTAGATTGATGCCCGACATCCGGGCTGCCCGCCTGGTGAAGGGCCCAGCAGTGTCGTAACCTTGTGATAATGTTTCATTTCATCCTCTCCTTGTCTTCCTGTACAGTAATACCTCAGCTGGATCATTTGGCCCATAAAGCTTAAGACTTTCTGGGAAATTGGATTTGAAGCTGAGTGAAGGCCCTGGAGGCTGTAACATGATGACGTTTGGGTATAAAAAAAAAAATTCTCTTTGTAGCTCTTTTCCTCCCTTTCCTTCCGTTCCTTCCTTTTCTTTTTTATTCTTCTATCAATTATTCAAGGCTTACAGTTGTGTGCAATAATATTCCTGTACTACATTCTACCAGGAGCCACTATGACTGTGCATGGTACAGTCGCCTTTAAACTTTATGAATTCATCTATTCTCACAGTCCGGTCTCCTCTGACACTTGGAGACAAACCATAAAGATCATCATAGATCAATATCAAGGCAAGAAAAAAAAGAACAAAAAAAAAAGAGGGGACTTTGGAAAGGACTGCCTTTGAGGAATTAAAGCAGACTACAGATGTGTAATCCTGTGGGTTAAACATATTTTAGTGAGTTTAAGCACCACACAGCTGCTGCACTCCGCTCCCTGCCTTTCCTCGCTCTCGACTCCCTGTTGTGGGTCAATATCATGGGAGCTGAAACCTGGAGGGGTGGGGGGCAAAGATGGAAGAATGCAATCTTCTCGCTAAGCCTGGACCCCCTCCGGGGCTTTTGACTTTATATTTCATCCAGCACTGTCAGCTCGTGCCTGCAGCTCCCCGATCACCACCACCCTTCATCACCGGCTCTCTACAATACAGATGCAACGTCTCTTCAGGTGGCTCGCTTAAAAACAGTGTGGATTTGACAGAAGTTACTCATCGGTCAGTGTGCAGAGGTCAGAGTCCTAATGAGCTGATCGCTGATGGATATGTCACTCATGCTGCAGTGTTTTAGCCTCTAGACTGGGGCTCCAGCTAATGGAATCACCATTTTTAATAAATGACAGGTAATGTTTTATGTATGACGCTTTGTGAGAGTATGAACGCAGTCTCTGTCATAATCCCAACGCTCTATGTGCTTTTCTGTCTCATTGCTCAACATATATGTACCATTATCTTGTCAAACGTGAACACTATCTAAAATAATTGAAGGATTATCAATTCATAAACATATAAGTTAAACAGGTCATGTTTTCACAAATATCCACAGCATATAAAAAGAAATAAACTATTCAGGAGAAAAAAACACGCACCGTTGGGGCCTTCAGCTTCTGTACCAAGAAATCATAAAACATGATAACGATAGACTGTTTCCCAGCAGGACCATTTGGAACATTTTCCCCCAGCGTCAGTTAACAAAAGTAACATTTTATTTGTGCAATTAAAGCTATGAGTTTTACACAGGAGGGTGGGCAGATAAGTGGTATCAGTGTATAAGGCAGCTTTAAAAGGTAACGTCTTATTCACACATTTGCTTTAACTGACCACCGAGTAGTTGTGTGTGGGTTGTAAGAACTTTTGACCCCGGAATAACTTACTTGGGGTCCCAGCAGGCCGCGAGGGGGCCGACTCTGCCGGAGGGATCCAGAGTCAAGGCCTCCAGCAGCCAATTCAGACAGCAGAGCTGGCGGTAGATGACCTTCCTGCAACAGCACACAAAAACATTAACATCAACATCTATCTGAGGTTGGTTTATACAAATAATCCATCAATATATATCAATATATTTAGAAAACAAAATATTGCTTTTTCATACTACTTCCATTTACCAGTACCAGTAAATTATTGATTATAATAGTCAGACTACCGTCAGAACCACTGCAATTATAGCAACAGATGAGAGGGGCGACAATTTCTTTTTTGTGGTCACAGCAACTCACAAGCAGAACAATGGCAATGGTTGAAAACACACACTCAAAATAACATTTTATAGACAACGAAAACAGCCTAGCTGATTGCTTTTGTCCACAGCTTCACATACAATATGTTCTCTTCTGACTCATAGACAATACACCGGGAGAAAAGGAGAGAGGAGAAAACATTTCAGATGCATCGTTGTGGCCTTAAGCTTCAGGACCAAGAAATCATGAAATGTTATATCTATGAACTGTTTCATAGCAAGTGTATTGGGAATAGTTTCCACCGGTTTCTTGTTTTAAGGAGGAACATTTGACATCACTACCTCATACAACATTTTAAAAATATTTTCTTCGAATAATTTTGCAGTGCTTTTGTGTTCTGATGTGTTTATTATCTAACTTGTATCCCAGAATTGCAATGCTGTATCATGCTGGAGGCTAAAAACAGTTTATCTAGTTTCGAGGGTGTCATAAAGTCATTTAGAGGCCTTGTGATTCATGTTAGTAGCTTTTTCCAACAATGACTAAAGGATGAACATGATATTAGTGGATTTTTCCAAGAAGTCAAATTACAGTAAATTTTGATACGTTGTTCCTTATTTTTAAGCAATAAATAGAGATACATAAGACTTTTCGTTTCCTTTTCTTTTTATTACTCTTCTTTAATACCATGTATTCATAGTTTTCTTGTATGCTGGTGGTGTGGTTGTGTTATCTCTGAAATACAGATCTTGATCTCTAAATCAAACTAGCTCATTAAATAAAATTACACATATCTTTTACACTGTATGGGGAGTCCTGCATCAGTGCCACCAAGACAAAGTTATTGTGTTTTTGTAGGTGTTTCTCACAAGAAAAAGTAAATAGCACAACATTAAGCTGTGGTGGTATTACCCCCTCCAATGGTCAATAATAGCCACTGCAAAACCAATCATATCCCATCAAATCTTCTATTGCAGGTAAAATAAGTGGATGAAAACATCGCCACAAGAGGCCCGACTCTTCAATACGGGAGCTGCTGTGGTGAGAACAAATGCAAAACATGCCATCTCTCTAAAAGCTTGGTTACTGTGTCACCTGCAGTCAAGCGGTGCCGTCTGTCACCTCGACACTTTCACGCTTCAAGGCTTTATGACCACATCCATTCCCGTGATCTCCTCACACATCAAACAATACAATATGAATTCTGCCTCTTTTTCTGCCTTGCTTCCCCTGCCCACAAATGTTGCTGCCCTGACTTCCTCCAAGCTCTTTTCATTATTGACCATGCCATTTGTCTGCCAGGCAGATAGTCTGCTAGATTAGGATCTGTCAAATGTCAGGTAACAGCTTTTGAACAGGGTTGTTATTTTCCAGAGGTCTCGCCAGAAAACAAGGCTGTATTCTGGCAGTGGCAATAATGCAGTGTCAGAGGAAATGCATGTAGAGTTGGAGGTGATGCATCATAAACTCTGGCTGCAGATTTGTCACCGTGGAACAGTGCACAGACAAATGTAAAGCACAGAGGACTCCTGTGTCCATGAAGGTGAGAGAACAAGCCTGAAATAACTGAAGCCACGCTTCCATTTAGCATTTTATTTTCAGTATATACGATATAAGTGAATCAGCACTGGCCATAAATGTATTAATCACTTAAATTAGGTCCTTATTTGCTTTCACAGTGACTTTAGCACACTTGAACCCTTGAGACTTTAATTTAAGTCAGACATAAATTGCAAAGATTAGGCTTCGCTCCTTCAAGACTTTAATTTGAAAGCAAAGACATTCAAATCTCAGGTTACACTCTCAGTACAATAATAAATAAATAAACAAGAGGCTGTAAATTATTTGGTTTAAAACTACTGAAGATTTACCATTGATAAATTAAGCACAGCGTTAGTTCAGGCAGGCCACAAAGTCAAGCTCATCACATCACACATCAGCTGATGGCTCAGTTTATTCCCTTCAAGCATCCAATTCACAAATATCATTCAGGACGCCTTATTTAAGTTGCTTTAGCCTGCCTACCTTTGCTGCTTCCTCTGCAAGCCGCTTTGCAACTCGCTTCCAACCCAGCTCCTCATTTTATGCTTTATCTGATCTAATCAATGTCATTTATGTTGCTTTTGATGCTTGCTCTGTTCTGTACCCTGGGGGGTATTTGCTGCTGTTCTCCTTGTCTTAAGCTTTTCCATATGCACATGGAAGAGCAAGGAGGTCCCAGAACAGAGTCATACAGCCGAATATACCATTCTGCATTTGGGATAGGTTTCTTTGGACAAAAATGGTCCTGACTGAACCAGTGTTATCGAGCAGTTAACATATCAAAATGTTATATCGTACTTGGTTAAATGCTAGCCTGGTTCAAGACCTCTACTTTGCTGTAAACAAACTATATACAGTATGATGAAAGTTTATAATTATGCCAAAATATTACACTAAATATATGCGTTAGTTAGTTTGGGTGACAGAAGTGCAAACATATCCTGGCTCACTACTGGTATAGGTGTCTCCTAGTTTGAGAGCTTAAATGTTCCTGCTTTGCTATTCAATAATTTTCAACCACATTACACTTACACCGTCCCAACATAATGTGTGATGCATACTGTATTACACTTTTGTTCAAATGCTAGTACTTGTGGATGGTAGGCAGTGTTGCCATTGAATCCTCTATATAAGATCAAAGCAGTGCATAACACTTGCAGAGCAGAAACCACTTAATGTTGCTTTTGTGAACCCCAGTAGCGTGTGTGTTTATTGTCAGCCAACAAGGCAGATTTGTCAGAGAAAACTTTTTCTGACTCATTTTTTCAGAAAGGTTAGCTCTGGTTCATGCAGCATCAAAGGAGTCAGCCGAATGAAAGAAATACAAAATGAAAGCATCAGGAATATCTCTCACTGTCAGATGTTTTACATTAAATATTCAGCAATCTGCCTGTTTGCTTTTCTTTGTTTGATGTTTGCTGAGGTGTAGTAACACATCTGTTTGACATGAATCAAACGGATGAACACTGACTGACGGAGGAGGGTGGAATAAGTGCAGTGATTCCTTAAAATCTAATGTTTTTCAAACAATCTCATCCTTTTCTTTACTTCAGTACAGCGTGTGGTGTTTCTTATGGAAAATACATTGAAACCTATGTTGCCATTTAAACAAGGAGTGAATAGTGTGCTATAAGTAATAATAGAAACAAATATTCAGGTGTTATACCTAACTACGCTAAGAGCCATTACCTGATCCTCTTAGCGCTGATATTTAAAATTGTCTTTACTTTGAGCTCTGATTCGACAAACAATACATTTTGAAGGTCAGAGCCTTTTTCTGACTACGTTGAAGACCATCCCACATTAAATTAATTTTGCAGAGGAAATACAACAAACAGCATACTGTGTGTACACTACACTATGTCAACTCTACCAACTGTACAAAGTGCACACGGTGAAGTTCAGCTCAACATGGTATGAGCATTGTATATCTGAAGGTTATAGACTGAAAGTGACAGGCTGAAGCTCTTGCACTGTAAGTAACGAGCATGCTGCTGCTTTCTAGCTGCTGCAGAGTGGGTTTTGCACAACTCTGTCTCCATCTGTTAACACAGAAGCAGCTTGGTAGTTGGTTTCTACAAGTACAAGAATCGCTGAACAAAATATTAAAATGCTGACCTATGCTGTTTTAGCAAGAAAAATCACTGAGATATGATGTGGCTTGTGAATGCATCGTGCACCGACCAAGAGCAAGCTCAGCCTCTCTAAGGTCTATGTGGCCTAAAGTATCAACCATACTCAGATCTGAGCTCTTAGACCGCTTCTACCCTTGAGTATCTTAAAACACTTGAACATGAAACGGCTCATTTAAAGGCCACCATGTTGAATATTATTGAAGGAACAGGCTGTACAGTGTAGTAATCTTACCTCGGTGCTTCACTAAGCAGAGGAGAGATCAGAGAATGATGGACAGGGGTGAAAGGTCGTGCTGACTGGCTCTTCCTCCTGCGTAGCCTTGCTTCGTTCGCACTTGACCAGCTGGTTCCTGCAGGCACAGGCCACCTGAATGCAGCACAGGTGCAGTGCAGTGCGCTTAAGAATGACCTCAATTAGCTTTGGCTCATCTGCTGTATATTTTAACTATTTTAGCATGCATGTTGGTTTAACAATATCTGGATGTTTTGAAAGCTGATGTTAATACTAAATTCCAACTAAGCTGCAAATATCTCATACATACCGTACATATATCAGGTGTCTCTACAAATCTCCAGTGAAGTTCATAAACAGGCTCCCATACACTCTGAATGTTAGCCCCCTGAGGAATATGATTCACCCTCCTTTTAGCTCTGTTTTGGTCTCTGCCAACTCCTAGGGGAAACATCCGGCTCTGCTAAATTCTCCACTATGTTCACCAGCTAGTGCTAACTTTGTCTGTCTGCCGTTTGGAGCTGTGCAGGGGATGGGTTTATCAGAGCCTTTTTGCTAAATATAGCAGCTTTCTGCTGCTGGAGACAGGGTTGATGGGAGTGTGAACGAAAACAATAAAGTTTTGGGCTGTAGAACCAAAACTCTCTGTAGAACTGAGGGGAACAACAGAGTGGTACACTGTATTTAATCAGCATAGCACTTGATATTAATATAAGATTATTGATTAGTGTAGCTTTAATTATTCTTGGGAAAAAGTAAAGACCTTAGTCCAATCCTAGTTTTGGTTTAAAGTAAAATACACTACATCTGCCTTACACATAAGCTGAAACTATTCCAGAGAGACACTGCAAGAAGAAATGAAACTGAGCTGATGTGAGTTGGTGCCTCACCCCTCTGATTCGCTGTCTGAGTCAGAAGAGAACCTGGGAGGTCGTGGCTCTCTTCTAAGCTGCTCCTCCTTCCTCATCTGCTGACTCTCCTCCACCTCTTGCTCCTCCCGTTCCTCTTTCTGCAGGAGGTGGAAGTAGCTTTGGCCCCGCTTAATTGCGGATGCCAAACGCCTGCAAAGCAGAGAGGCACAAGCGGGAGTCATAAATACAGGGGCATCACCAGCATGCTTTAATAATGATATATGTTCACCTTTCAACAACCCAAATGACAAAAAAGAAAAACACAAAACGCACATAAACCACTAATGTCAAGCCGACACATTAATCTCCTGTCTTTGCCAGAGACATACAAAAACCATCAAAGCCGATGAGTTACAGTCAAAAGTGCTCGTGTGTCATTACAATAATCCCTCACAACCACACAGGCACACATACACACACACTTGCACGCACTGTAAATCATCCAAATCAGAGCACACCAAAGCAGCAGGCAGGCACAAATGACACCTAACTAGAGCATTATGGGAGAAACGTGTTACGTCTGGCCAGATTAATGACTTAATTATGGCGGTTTAGCTTCCAACCATAACCTTTCCTCAAATACTGTTTGCTTGTTTTTCTCATACTGCACGCGTAATTACCTTTGCATTAATGCTGCGGTGGAAAATTAAAAGACGCACGCACAGAAGCAACTGTCGAGGTGACTTTGCCAGGAGACCGGCCAAGGTAACAAACCTCAGTGTTTCTTAATAATTTCACATAAGTAGTTTGCCTTCTTGTTAGTTAAGGAGGCTATGGAAAGCAGGTCAAAGTGCAGGCTGCCACGAAGCTCGTTATTGTCAGCTGGAATTGAAAATCAAGGTGGCGTACACCGTGTCAGCTGTATGATCCTTTGTTGTTGAAATCGACTGGGACTCAAAAGAAATATTACAGGGCTGTATGGGCTTTAAAATGAAAGGAAGGCTGTGGTTGAGCTTATATTAATGTTTTTCAGGTTGGAGAAGTTCAGCACTCATCAGGAGTTTCAATATGACTGTGACTCTGAGATAAGCAAAAGGTATACCTAGAGAATAAAGTATATTAGGGTTGAGCAATAATTCAGTATTGTTTATATACTTTCAGTGAAAATGTATTGAGATTATATGGACATAGTGTTATCTTCTACAGTATTCTGCCGTCCAAGGGAATGATTTCATTAGACAGTATGAGTCATTTAAAGGTACCCTCCGGAGTTCTTAAGCTCTACTAGCACATGCATCAACCACTTGTATTCGTGCATGCAGGAGCTATCATACACATTCCTGCCAATGGTTTCGTGTTATTCCACTGATCAACAGTTGGTGGCAGTAATGAGCCAAGAAATGTAGTAATACGCCAGCAAAAGGCAGAGATGAAAAAGACTAGGGACTTATCAGGGCAGATACAATTATCGTCCGATTATGGGAAATTTTTATTATTATGAATTATCTGGAAAATTAAATTACAGCTAATGAATTATCGGTCCATAATAATAATAATTAAAAAAAAAACATTGATAGCCTTTACAGTCTATGAAAGCCAAAGTATGTTTGAGAAATGGAATGTCAGTTACATTAGGTCAGAGCAATGGAATATCAAATATCTTTTCTCAGTACATCTTAACCTTTCTTGCCATCAAGTGTGTAATTATTATCAGCCATGGGAAGCAGGTAATTATCAGTTATCATAGCAGCTGAAAAAGAAATCCATATTGTGCATCCCTAAAAAAGACAGCTAGCTAACAAAAATGGATGTAAACAATGGATGTATTAAGAAAGATGGATAGGACGCTGTCATTCAGCTTTGCCACCAATTTGTTCTCAGGGCCACTCATTGTACTGCAACGGAAAAAAATCCCATGTGGCCCAAAAAGCATTTCCCCCAATTCTGACAGCTCCAACTGCAGACAGGTCAATTATTACTCTTTGTATTATGAATTTTTCATCCATGAAGGTTTTATATTTGTAGAACGAGAGCCTAGGAAAACGTGACATCATCTCTATGTAAAGTTTGTGGGCTGTAGGGGAACATGCAGGTGGGCCCAGTGGGAGTAAAACACTAATGTGCACGTACAGTGGGTTGCACAATGTGAACACATTTCTGATGTGCATGCCTTTAACTAGTTCAGCTGGAGAAACACTCTAGTACTCATGCTCTATGAGCCCAAAAATGCAGAAACCTGAGCAAACCTCAAAAACGTTTGCAGAATACGTGCCCAGTGAACAACTTACTTTGGTATGAATGGGGTAACTTCTTGGAAAATGTTATACAGTTATTTTGATAAAACCGTGATGTAAATGATTCAAGTTCTAACATGCTGAAAGTATTTTCCAATGTTTTATGAGGAGGGAAACACATTCATTTAGTTTGTTAGACATAATTTGGCTAATCTAGTTGTAAAGAGTGACTTAGTGCATTTAACAAGAAGCAGCTTCAATTTCCTAATTATAAACATGACAAGAAACCAACAAGAAGAAGTGACCGGTGACCTCACAATATTCTTGTGACGTTTTCTCTCCAGGCAGACCAGATTTAGTTTTTTGCAAGGCTGAAACCACAAACGCCTGCATATGTTCCAACCCTCTGCTGCTCCAGTTCTTATTTGTTATCTAGCGAGCAGCTGGCTGGTAATATTTCGCCCACAAGTGGAGCCAAGCACTTCAGCCTAGGAGGGGGGCACCAAGCACTTGTGTTCCAGCATGCTAATCTGGCTCTGTTCGGTGATACAACGAGTGCACCAGTTTAGCTCAGAGGCATGTCTGTTCTATTTGCATACCACCACACCCCTGATATTACTTATTAATCTTCAGATGTGACATCTAAGTCCAAAATGCGGCAGTCTTAATTAAAGTGTGTTTCTATCAGCATCGCTAATGACTCGTAGCTTCAAATGTGCAAAAAGTTTTTCCCTGGAGTAGCTGCCGGCTGCCAAGAGTGTGGGAGGTGGCACAGTGACCTTGCCTCAGACGTGACTAATTTCGTTAGCTCTTTGTGCTAAAGTGACTCTTTCACTTTAGTTCAGCTAATGTTTTTTAAAATTGATTAATATCTAATAACTGGCAGGCAAGTGGGTGTCTTTCTGCTTGTGTTTGATGCACCACATGTACAAATGTTTGTGACAACAGCGCCAGTTGTGCCAGAGTGTAACATGAAAGCTGAACAATAATATGCTGAAGGGAAAAGGGGGAGAAGAGAGAGAAAGAAGCAGACAGAAGAAAGCTGCCGAGTCAATGACAGGCTGCAGTATTTGGTGTGACAAGAAAATAAAAGGCATTGAGAAGAAGCAATGTATCATCAATACACAAACACACAATGAAACTTTTGTGTTTGAATGCCAAGAAGCTCTGAAGTGAAACCCCATTATGCCTTTTCTCATCACCACCGTCTGTCCTTCCAGTCAACAACAAGTTATTCTTCTTTGTGAGAGTGAATCATGACCACACATCACAGGCTGGCTTGAAAAGCTCATTAAAGTTGACAATGCTTGGAAGGAGGACTTGATAGGTGGTTAAAAATTGATTGCAATGTAAAAAAATTTGACATTTGTGCATAGGGGGAGGGTAGTGGTGGAGGGGGACAGTTTTTAACAGATCAAATCATTGGAGCCCTTGGGTGGCAGCTTGTTGCCAGGCAACAAAAAGGGATAAGGTTTGTGGTAGGTGAGGAATCTTTGCAGTGATTACACCAACTAAGATATCTATTTTAAATCTACTCATTGGCTCTACTCTCACATCATCATACATTCCTTTATGTGAATTTTGAATGTGCAAGTTCTGATTAAAGCCTTAAGCATGTTTGTAGGGTATCATACACAAGGCACTGCAACATGACGTAAAGGAGTTCAAACACATTTCATAATCAAGTCCTAATTATAAATCTAGCAGAATAATATTACATGGGAAGTATTATCTGTCAGCTACAACGTAAAGAGAAACAGGACTTGCAGTAGTGTTGACAAGCCAGCATGGGATGTTTCATGTCAACATCACCAGAGACAAATCGCAGACTGCGACAACACAAGCTGCCGCAGTCATAAATGACAGAGTACCAGAGACGAGGGTGAGAGCCAAAACACTGATTGGGCTTTGTGGTGTCTACTAAGACAAAACATGAAGGTAAAAGAAGGAAATATGAAAACAAACTGAACTTTCAAGGAATCTACACACCAGATAATTTCTTGGAGCATCACAAGTTGCCTCTGTATTGTGACAGAAGTGCATGCTCTGGGTATATAAGGAATGGTAAAAACCCATAAAATCAGTGCAAAGATGCAAAAACAAAATCTATTTTAGGTACACCTGGCGTAAATAACATGACTGTTGTGGTGCAGGAACCAATAAAATTCAAGTAAATATCTTTAAATTTGTGTCCTAATTTCCATCTCATCTTTAAACAGAAGAAAAGGAGACAATTATTACAGCTGTGTCTGTGTTTTTGAGATTAACTAAATTATTTGACAAATCCCTATCCTACGGAGGATTAGAGCCATTTGAAATATATTAGACATTATGTAATATTATCATCGCATTTTTCTTATATTTTTGGCTTTTATCTGTGAATTGGGATCTTTCCTAAAAGAAAACTGATGCTAGACCCAACATCACACATCTGATTAATTTAATGGAGCAAAATCATGCATTATGGGTCAGTTCACCCAAATCATACTAATGTTAGATGTAATTAGATGTTAGAGACGAATATCTACCCCCAATGCAATGGAAGTAAATGGGAAGTGATAAATAATTGAGCAGCATGTACTCAATAATATTGCAATTAAGTGTGACTGCTTGCCAAAACATAAAATAAAAAAACATAAAATACTTTTACCATAACAATGTCCCAGTTATAAAACGCTTTAGGGAATAAACTGACATTTTAAAATACACTTTTTTGCTTTCTTGTTGAGAGTTATATAACAAGATCGATATATCCATTAAGTACAGAACTAAAGCCAAGTAGGCAATTACTGTAGCTTAGCATAAAACCTGGAAGCGGGAAACAGCTAGCCTTACCTTCTCCTAAGCTACCTACCACCAAAGCCTACAGCAGCCATTTGGATATGAAATAGTAGGGTAAACACAATTGTTACCAATGATACTTTTTAAGGTTCTGTTTCATTCAGTCAGGGTGCTGCTATTATAAATGTTGGCTCACTGGAAAGGCTCTGCAACACTAAATGGAATGGAACCTTAATTAGTATCATTATCATTAGTAGCCAAGAAATTCAGTGGACTTGATCTGTTTGTGAAATAATGGTTTGTTGTCTAACTTTACAACAGTGGATGATTGTAAAACTACATCAGTTGGACACATGTGGGCCATTTTTGCAGTAATGTTCCTTGTTTAATCCGTACACAAACATAAATGAAAAATGATAAATTGTGGTTTTACAGGGAGTTACTTGCTTTAACTATTTCTTGGCTGCTTCCAGTATTTATGCTAAGCTAGCTTAATACTGAATGGGCAGGCATTAGAGTGGTATCAATCTTCGCGTCCCACTCTCAGCAACAAAAGAAAAGAAGCATATTTCCCAAAATGCCAAACTTTTCTTTTAATGAAGAGGATTATCTCCAATAACAAGGACATTGTTTCAGAAAAAACAGGCTGCTGTTTTTCCAATTTAATTTTTGTCTGTCATGAGAAAATAAAATGAAATTCCAGTCACTTCCACTGTACTAGGGTGGAAATCTCAACAGCAGATATCACAACATCTAGGTGAATAAAACCAAAACTATCAGCATGGCTAGATACCAATAGAGGTAAGTGATATCTGTGGTGAGAGAAGAAAATGGTAATAACCCAATGCTTTATATTTCCATAAGACGTCCATGCTGAAAAACAGACCACTACGTGTCAGATGTTTACACCTTACTGCCCAAGCTGAAAAACAAAACCAAGTTGATTAAGTCTAAGCGGTTTGCACTTGCCAGAGAAGCAGTGAGACTTATGAGCAGTCAACATGTGAGCTGACAGAAAATGGGCTGCCATTTGGCCTAAAAGGCATCACAGCCCCAAATCATTACTACTGTATTCACTTGCAGGGGTAAACAGCCACAATTCATCTGGGGGTTAGTTTCTCCTGTGAAAATGGCAACCTTTCCCCATAACACCTGTATGAATAATTCAACACTCTGGGCTCTATCAGAGGCTGTCAGAAATGTCAGCCGGTTGGAAGTACCCTTGGCTGCCCCCAGAGGATGTTGTCTCTACACCCTGTGGTGGGGTTAGGGGGTTGCACACACACACAGGACCAAATGCCACAGCTTTTTGAGTGCCAGGACTCCACTGCCTGCAGGATACAGAAACACTGAAAGCTGAGCATACCTGCAGTGAGCACACGGTTGCAGTTTTCCCTTTTTATGAGCCATTTTATTCTTAAACATGACTTTTTCCATGCATAGGTATCTGTTTCAGAGGAAACAGCAGTTCAATACAACATACTTATATCAACAGAAGGGATTCATGTTTTCCATATTTGTTAAACACCCACATATGTAATTCTCACCTGGCGTGGCCCAGATGCTTCCTCAGGGAAACAATATCAGCTCTTTTTCCAGCCTGGGTACGAGAAACTGGCAAACTCTGAAAAAAAAGTGCATAAAAACAAAGACATAAAAAAGGCCAAGCAGCTATTATCTTTTTGTCTTCTGAATTGCTCTGTAGCTCAGAGCACCTCTTCACCCATGAAAGACTCTGTCGCATCCCCCTGTGACCTCTGCAGAGGCAAATTGGGCAGCAGGCCAAGAGTAAAAATTTTGTCTCTAATATGACATCGCTTATGGAAATGACAGATAATCAGGCAATTAATCTCTACATAATTAACTGCATTGAGTAAAAAAAACTCCTTATGCAAGATAAACTGATGTTTTCTACAGTATAAATTAGATAACAGGGTGTCAGAGGACTATAAATGTGGGCTTAACGATTAACAGTCACACCTTGCTTCCTCCTGTGGAATCTGGAGGGTAGCTGTTAATGGGCTGGTCGACTATCTTTGGTGGGTCATCTGTAGTCGCCTATGAATAGATCATCAGAGAGGAGGCAAAGGACAATTAGCTTGGACTTCATATTCAGGAGGATTTTTTTAATCTATTAAATCTGAAGAATAACATGTTACAGTGTTAAACACTTATTTCCAACATAGTATCAGCTAGTTAAGGACATACGGACACAGTTCTGTATTTATCAGCATGCTGAGGCAGTGTACTATTATGAGTGTTACTTGGCATTTAAAGAGGGAGGGTTCTGTCTTTTTTCCCACCTATTTCCCGCAATAATGTAAGCAATAGGTTACAGTGTGTTAATCTCATCTAACTGCAATTGTTAGCATTTCCTGATAATTAGTTTGTGGGGTTACAGATTCTGTTAAAGCTCAGTTCGCAGCTAGTCCACTGTGCATTATTTTCTCACACATCAGTTAGTCCTCATCCTAAAAGACTTTTATTTTATTTAAAGTAAAAATGAAAACATACGGTTTGAAAATACAAACAAGTATGAAAGCAAAGCAGCTAAGCAAGGTTACGTTAGAACAAAACATATTTTACTATTTCTTGTCCTTATCACACTACATTTAGGACAAACCACAATACAACAACAGTATAATGTTTAAACATCTGTAATATTATTATAAATAATATTCAGATTATTATAACATTTCTTAATTTCCATGTCTGCTACATGAATCATTAACTGGCAAGAGTGCTAACTTTTTGACATGCAGCTTTAGCCTCAGTCTTTTATTTCAAAATATCACGTATGTGGCCATAAAGTGTATATTTAAGAGATTTTTTATATTAAAAAGTCAGCTGTAGAAAGAATTTCCAACCAACTTATGGAACTAGTGTTACCTCAATTAGGTAGCTAACTATAACCAAACAACAATTGCATACAACATTACAAAAAAAGTTACTTACTAGGAAGGAGTATCCTGTTGCATACCTCTGTGCATAGTGAAGAAACAATTGCTTCACAAATGACTAAGAATTTTTAATGTTAAAGGTCCAGTGTGTAACATTTAGGAGGATTTGTCGGCAGAAATGGAATATAATATGCTATGTTTTCATTGGTGTATAATCACCTGAATATAGGAATGATCTTGTAACCTTAGAATGAGCTGTATATCTCTACAGACGCCTCCAATGAGTCCACTATGTTGAACCACCATGTTTTTCTACAGTAGCCCAGAACAGACAAACCGAAGACTACTCTAGATAGGGGTGTTTCGCAGCCACCATACTTTCTCCTCACTATGAAGGGTAGGGTGAAGAGAGGGAGTTGCAATCTGCAATTACACCACTAAATGCCACCAAATCCTCCACACTGGGCCATTAAAATGCTATTGTTACCGCTGCAAACTACTTTTGTGCCGAGCACGACTGGAAAGCTTGACAGGTACTAACAGTAACTAAGGAAGTGAGAGTAGAACTGATCTCCATCTTGTTGTGTCCTTTAATCTGCGAGTTGATTAGTTCTACTAGAGTATCAAACATGTTCGCAAGTTAAATAAAATGCTTCTGTCTTTGTAAAATTTACTGTACCATTACTATGAATGCGATTTCGACTTTAAAATGTGTAATGCCTATTCTTCTCTCCTGATAATCAAGCCACAATGCATTCAAACTCTGACCACAGATGAATGACTTAAAAAAAAACCAAAGATAATCTACTGTTCCCAATCAGGCTTCCACACAGGAGACCCTTTTCAGTTCCAGAAACCAAATTGCTGAATTGTTGCTGACTAATAGCATTCACAACTTGGATTACTGGTTCTAATGCCTTTGTAGCGATGCAAAATGAACCTGTTAAACTGCATACCCTCCGGTAAGTCAACTACTACAAAGTCATGCTGTGCAGCTAAATGCTGTTTAAACTCATATAACTTTATCTGAAGTCCTCAGGGAGATCCCAAAGTTTCCAGACACCAAATATTGCTGAATTTTGGTGAAAATGTGACTGAAATGATGCACAGGACATCTAGAATAAAGGATCTGAATAAGTCATTCAGTGTAAACATGATATATCTTCAATGAAGAGTTGGAACAAATTGATACAAGACATATACGATACTGTCAGACAGCATAATTTCTCCAACCTTAAAGCTGGAGAAAAGGGGGGAAAATTGTATGTAAACGGTTTAAAGAAAACGTTCCGGAGTACATGCTGAATTATTGGAATTACTGATGGTTAATGCAGTTAAAAATGCTACTGCCCTTAAATGCCATGACTTTTTTAAAATGATGACAAAGCTACAGATAAACTGGGAAAGGACCAAGCTGAGCTCAAGTCTTCAAGCTGCAACATCCAAAGGACAAGAGAACGTGCCGGAGAGCATGGAAATGCCACGGCCGTCATATTTCACTGTGAGGCTTCTCTCTGAGCAGTCCTGCCTCTGCTCTGCCCCTGCTCCGCCCTATCGTCTCTCTTCATCTTCCTCCTCACCCTCCTTCTCCTCATCATCCCCTTGTCCCCACACGCTTCAGCTGATGGATGAGCTCATTTGCTGCAAATCTCTTTTGAGTCAGGAAGGGATACTGTTGTTGCCTTTCTGCTACTTCAGTGGACACAGAGAATAGAGACCTCAGCGTATGAATACTGTATGTGCACACATCGACGCACACAGAAAGTACATGCTCCAATACATACATGTAACAGAACATTTATTTTACAAATGGTCTGTGAAGTGCCCTTAGCCTGTGTATTTCCATCAATACCCAGGAGTAACATACATACACCAAACAATGTTGTAAGTATTGCATTTGTCTTAACAGCACCACAGAGAGCTGAATCAAAAGCATTGCAAATGCAATAACATAGAGCAGGAAAATGCCGAAGATGAGATTGCCTTGTTTTCCCTCCTCAGTGATTTACAGTGTATACAGGAATATTCTTGTTCACTGTAGTCATAGAGACAATGGATTGGCAACAGGCATGGCTAAGCCAATTCAGCGAATGAATTTCTTTAAACAATAGCAATGTTTTATGTTAGATTGAGG